GGACTGTGAATGAGTATTCCGCAGTCGGTAGCGCCCGACTGCAACGTTCTTACTTGTTTATGATAGCAAATTTTATTGGACAATATTTTACGAATCATATGTTCCCCTGTTCACACTTAGAGCATTTGTAATTCCTTGCAACCTTGTTAGGCAATGACAACTAGGGGCTCGGTGAAAATTGAATAAACGTACACGCAGCCAATTTCGAGCACAAGATGAATATCCCAGCTATAAAACGAGAGCTATGCGTTGGATATCCTATTGACGACCTTCGTTTAACGTTCTGTGAAACTGGCCACCAAGCAGATGACGCTATTCAACCCCACCTAGTCTTAGTTGCAGCTACAAATACAGCTACCCCAACACCAGATTCGCATAAATTAAGTGGAAGCAGCAGCATTGTCCTTCAACCTATCGTCTGATTCTCACAGCGCATTTATTTTGCGTGACTTTTGTAGTCAGCTGCACGTCTTGCTCCTTTTAAGCGTTGTCTCTGTTGTTGATGCTGTCGTTCACGTACTTTGCTCCCAGTTTCCTGCAGCAGAAGCCAATTTAATTGCAATTTTTCCTGCAGCCAGCGCCAAAGACAAATAACCAAAGCTAATAGATCATGTCATTTTGTCAACAAGTTTTACAATCTAATTGCGAACATTCACAAGAGCTAACAAAGACGTATACTTTGAACTTCAATTGAAAGAGCGACAATTTACTAATTTCTATTTAAACTCGATATTTTTTTTAATATAGCTAATCATTTATTTTAATTAATATAGCTTATCCAACTCGCATATGTTATTATGACATTTTTTTAATACAAATTATAATTAATTTTAAGAAGTTATTATAAGTTCTTGGCAACTTTTTTGTTAATTTTTAGGGAATGATCTCTTATGGTAGTTCCTTGAAGTTATTTGGGTGTCAGCAGATCAGCAGCCCGGCTAGCTCAGTCGGTAGAGCATGAGACTCTTAATCCCAGGGTCGTGGGTTCGAGCCCCACGTTGGGCGAACACTGTTTTTTATTTGAATTTTCAACGATTACAAAATAAACATAAAAATTTAAGAAAGCTCTAGCGAGACTGCTCGATCTTTCAAAAATGATCACATAGCATTTTCGGTTTATATAGAAAAGTTTTCTGACAAAACCGCACATGCACACGCAGTGTGGGCTTAATATGGGGACTTAGTTATACTCATTCACGAAAGTGAAATGAGTATCTATATATATAAAAGAGAGTTGTGAAAAGTTTTCCAGCACTTATAACTCGA